CTAATAAAAATGAAGTAATAAAACTTCCCCAATAACTCATTATTTTTTTTTAACTCTTTAGGATCTAATCAAAGATCAAGCATTACATTTTGTGGTCATGTCTCTTGCCTTCCTCACATTAAGACAATTTCTCAGCTTTCTTTTCTTTTTTTGAAATTTCCTGACAGTAACATTTTTGAAGACTCCATGGCATTTGTTAGTAGTTTGCCTCACAATCTGGATTTGTCTATTTTCTCATTATTAGATTCAAATTTAAAGTTCTTGGCAAGCCTGGCTACGTGGGTGGTGTTTCCCATTGTAACACATCAGGATTGAGATACTGATATATTGTTAGTGTGTTCCCATCACTGGTTAAAGTAGTATCTTCAGATTTCCCCATTGAGAAGGTACTTTTTCCCTTTTATAATTAATAAGGTAATTATTTTGAGACTTATTGTGAATATCCTGTTTACCTATAAACTTTTATGAAATGGCAGCCTTCATTCATCATCTTTCTGCCATTTATTATTACATTGGTAGTTATAAGAAGGTGATTTCTTAATTTTGTCATTTCTTTTACATTTATTAGATCTAGTTCTGTAAAGAAGAGGTTTCCCTTTTGCTCTCAATTTTTTTCTTTCATCATTGTTTTCAAATCACTGTGGACCGATGGGATTCTTTTTTGTTTTTTTCATACATGCTGTAATCTCAATAAATGTACTCATTTGGTCTATTGGTTACTTCAGAATAATCAATCCAGGAGTAGTATTGACAACAGATCTACTAAGTAAAGTTCAGGTCTTTTTGAATAAGTAAAATACACAGTTCAAAAGTCAAAACTTGATCCATCTAGAGAATTTTTACTTTCTTCCACCATATTCCCTTCCCTGCTCTATAGCAAACATTCTCATTAGTTTCTTTCCTGTGTTTTTTTTCCCCCAAATAGGCAAATATATATATGTACTTTTTAAAAACTCAAGTATAGTTGACATACAATGTTACACTAGTTTTAGAGGTACAACATATGATTGAGCAAGTCTGTATGTTACACTGTGCTCACAAGTGTAGCTACTGTCAGTCACCATACAACGCTATTACAGGCCCACTGGCTATGTTCCCTGTGCTGTACCTTTCATCCCTGTGACTTGTTCCATAAACGGAAGCCTGTATCTCCTGCTCCCCTTCACCCATTTGTCCATCGCTCCACCCTCTGCCTTCTGGCAACCATCAATTTGTCCTTTCTGTGTATGTACTTTAATTTCTCTTTTTTCTCATACAAAAAGCACGTTATATATAATTACTTTACACATTGTTTTTTAAAGTTAACATAGCTTGGATATTTTTTTCACATTAGTGTATAGAGATCTTTCCTTCTCCTCCTCCTTTTCCTCCCTTACCCCTTCTGTCTCTTCTTTTCTCCCTGCTTTGTGTCATACTGTTGTAAAAATGTACCACAATTTATTCAACTAGTCTCCTATGGATGGGCAGTTGGATTGTTTCTGAGCTTTTGCTATTTTATAGACTTAGTATAGGATTATGTAGTGCGCAACTTCATGAGTATGTGGTTTTATATTTGTGGCGTTGTCTCTCTCTCTTTTTTTTTAAGATTTTATTTTAAAGTAATCTCTACACCCAACATGGGCTTGAAGTCACAACCCTGAGATCAAGAGTCAGTTGCTCCCACGACTGAGCCAGCCAGGCACCCCTGTGGAGGTGTATCTTAAAAGTAAATTTCTAGCAGTAGCCTTGTAGGTCAGAGGGTAAATGAACACGTAATTTTGTTAGCCTATAATCTGGGCAAAAGGCATTTGGGGCAGAGGGTAGAGCAGGTGTAAAGGCTCTGAGCCGAGGACACATGGCTGGGGTGCTGATGGAATTGCATAGAGGCCACCTGAAGAAGCAGAGATGAGAAGTGGCCTTGCTGAAGATGCTGTGTACTCTTGGCATAGCTAAACTAGAGCCCTGGTTTCCATACTTCCGGTTCATTGCAACACACTTTAAAAAAAAGGGTTTTTGTTTTTGGTTTGGTTTATTTATTTATTTATTTATTTGTCAGAGAGAGAGAGAGAGTGAGTGAGCACAAGCGCATAAGCAGGCAGACGCAGAGAGAGAAGCAGACACCCCCCCCCAAGCAAGGAGCCCGATGTGGGACTTTATCCCAGGACCCTGGGATCATGACCTGAGCCGAAGGCAGTGGCTTAACCAACTGAGCCACCCAGGCGTCCCATGTTTTTGGTTTTTTTTTTAAGTACACTCCATGCCCTGTGTGGAGCCCAACATAGGGCTTGAACCCACGACCCCGAGATCAAGACCCGAGCTGAGATCAAGCATCAGACACCAAACGGACTGAACCACCAGCAACCCACTTACTAAACAAAGAATGCATACATGCAAAACAGGAATGTGTTTGACCAAGGCCGGTGTTGTTGGGGCTCTGAGGGAGGGAGAAGTTGATAAGGAGCAGAGGGAGGAGATGAGGCAGAGCCCAGAGGATTGTTAGGACTGGAGTAACAGTTGAAGCAGAGCGGTCTACCTTCCCAACTCTTAGAAGTCAGTGTGGATCGGGCTTGGAAGTGAAAACAGGTGTGTGCTTGTTTGGGGAGATAATGCCAGGAATGGAATGCTGATCTGGGAGAAAGGAGGGGATAACTGGAAGCAGGTCAAGTAAATCAGGCCTTACAAAGATTCTCAGATTCCAGGATGAAATTTGAAGTTGATTTGTCTGCAGAGTCACTGCAGATTTTTGGTGTGGGGATGAGGTAGTATCGGTTTGTGTCGTCTCTAGTTTGTGGTCATCGCGTCCATCTCTTTCTATCTTGAGAAAATCATTCATTTAGTTGTTCTAATGATTACCTGGTAGAGATCAATGTGCCTGGCTCTGGTAGGGTCTCAGTGTTAGCTGGAATTTGGTTACACGGTTTCCTGTCTTTGCTGTCTTTGGACATAACTTCATCTCTCTATTGGAAAATACTCAGATGCCACCCAAGACTTGCAGGATCAATTAAGTTTTCTCATTGCCCACTGTTAGGCTTACAGCCTGATTGGTTACAAGGTGGGAACCCCTCGTCTCACTTCCAGAAAGCAAAACAACAGGCAAGGACATGATCCGTGCTCCTAAGGGCTTAGGAGTGTGATGGGGAGTACTTCCTGCATTTTCACTCTGGAGGACTAAGCCGTCATTTGTTCTTCTGTCCCTCATTGTCCTTATCCGGGGGTTCAGTCTAGAGTTGTGCAGTAGTTTAGCCACTAACCACATGGGTCTAGAGCACTTGAGAGATGGTGAGTCTGAGTTGAGGTGTGCTGTTTGAAAGTGTAGAACATGCTTTCAGTTTCAAAGACTTAGTGTAACAGAGAGAATATAAAATATCTCAGTAATAATACTCTCTTCTATTGATTACAATGCTGAAATAATGCTTTGAATAAATTATGTTAAAATAATTAAAATTAACTTCATCCTTTTTTACCCTTTAAGAACATGAAATTTAAATTGCATCTGTGGCTTACATTTTATTTCTATTGGACAGTGGTCTAGAAACTTGATGAAATTTCGATTAAACGTTATTTCATATTGTGTTGTACTAAGAGGTACATAATATGAGTTTGTCCCACTCTTAATGATACTAGATTTGGCATTTTCCAAAACTATATTTTAGGGATACATTTTGATCACTTTCAGAACTTTCCATTATAAAGGTGTGTGTGTATGTATATATATATATATATATATATATTTTTTTTTTAAAGGTATGTATTTTTGAAATCACTTCCAGAGTTTTTGTTGTAACGATATATAAAAACAAAACAAAACAAAACAAAACAAAAAAACACTCAAAACTTACCAATTTAAAGATAGATTTTGAGTATTTCTGGAACTCTCCAGAGCTAAGAAACATTTTTTTTTTTTGCAGTGAGAAATCTGTGGAATGATATTTTGGCACCTTGGGAACTTCCTGTTTCCATTCTTTTTTACTTAATGGTTTTAGTGCCTTCAGGATCCCTTCCTGAATAAATTATGTTGGATGCTATTCAATATGGTGATTTTTAAATGCTATTATTTCTTTTTCATACAGTTGTCATTCTTCTATAAAGAAGAACGTTCCTTTTTCTTCTTTCTCTTTTTCATTTTATTTTTAGGTGAAAGAGCTATGTGGCCTACAGCTTAGTTCATACAATAGATGTTTGATTAGAAAAGTTAAGTACAAATGCAATTTTTAAATATAGAGTCAGCTTACATGGACAAAGGTTATCCACTCCTTAAAGGAACCATATTGTAAATCATTTTTTTGCAAAGCTTAGTAATCACCTGTTCATCTCTGTTATCCTACAAACTTGAATTTTCATGTATAGCACATTTGTTCAACAAGTTACTAAATTCTTATTCTGTTGCATACACCATGTTATGCACTTAGAGTTGGAATGGTAAGTGGAAGAAACATGGCTGTCCTTCATGTAGGATGCATCCTTCTGGATGAGGAGACAGGCTTGCCCAGAACCCAGTGAGTGAAGGCAATTAGGAAGATGTATCTGAGAATCTTGATTTGGAAGGTATTATAAAGGCTTTTCCTCACAAACCTCAAATAAATGCATCAGCAGTTACTCTCTGTGGGTCTGATGTGAAGACTATATAGCAGAGTTGGCAGGTCCCTGCTGTTGTCTTTCTCATGTAACCCTGAATTATGATTGCAGATGTCTTCTCTCAATTCCAATCTTTTCCTCAAGTTTTTTTTCCTCTCTGGACATTTTCCCAGCATTGCTGAGGTCCACACCTGCATAAAGCATGTCCTAGAGGCGTACTTCAGAAACTCCTAATACCCTGACATAGACACATCCAGTTAGATGTGTACGCGTCTTTAAAGAAATAAGATGTCTGTCAGTTACAGTGCTGTGACCTCAGGTTCCAGAATATGAACGCAACATTCTTTAGAAGAGATGCTTCACTTTGGATTGAATCTAAGTTTAGAATCAGTCAGCCTCTTGTCAAAGGGAGAAGGAGAGCCTCTGAGACAGGAAAGCTCCTCGCTATGAATTGGTTTGGAAATTACTTCTCTAAATTTCCTGAGGATGCTTCCTTACTCAGCCTACACTCACCTCTGTTGCTTTCACTCATCTCTTCTGAAGATGAACATTTTCTTTCCAGTGTGAGGTAGAGAGTTGGGTGATTTTTTTCTTTTTCTTTTTGGGTAGCATATCAAATCTCTTTCTGTCTCTCTGTCTAAAAATCAGTCTCTTCTTAGGAGGAGCCAAGAGAAGAAAACTGGGCTTGGGAAGAAAGTAGTTGCTATCATTTTCCACGGGTACTTGAAAAGGGGCAACTGATTAGTTCCTTCGGGCCCTGCTTGGCCAGCGAAAAGAGAAGGGGAGTCTTTTATTCTTAACTTTCAGCGTTGAACCTTGACCAAGTAAAATTTGACTACTGGGGGCTGCCAGTAATTTCTAGTCCTTTGAAATCAAAACTCCAGAGCTTTGGCTTCAGTTAAGTTTGAATTAATCAAGGAAGCCTGGGTGGGAGGCAGAATGAATGCTTTTTAGTATTGCAAGTTTCACCAAGGAAGAGGGTGACAGGAACAACGTCCCCCCCACGCCCCCGGCAAGGCGAAGCAGCAGACAAGTGGGGACATAGGGTGAGGAATGCGCTTAGCAGCAGCAAGAAGAGGACCACAGAGTGAGGTCAGAAAGCAGGGAGAGTGTGCATCTCCATCTTCCAGCACTGGGCCTCTTGCCTTGTGCTTTGAGTCAGCCTCCTGCTTCCCACCAGTTGAAGCCTCCCTCTGTTGCTTATCTCTTAGGGTGACTAAACTTCGTGGTTTACCTTGGCGTATCCTGAGTTGAGCCCTGGAAGTTCTCCCTCCTGGGAAAACCCTTAGTCCTGGGAAAGCTGGATGATGGGTCCCTGGGATTGAAGTTTTAGGTATTTGGGCAGCCCGTGTGACACCTGAGAAACTGCCCGAGAGCACCTGCCTCCATTCTCTGTTTCTTGGGAAAGGGTACAGAAGGCCCCAGGGCAGTGCAGGATCATGGAGTTAGAATAACAGTAGCCGCCACCCACTGCAAGCCTCCTGTGTGCCGGGAGTGTGATCCTGTTTGATCCTCAAGACCACTGCAGAGGGAGGATGTTTGCAATCCAGTTTTATGGGAGAGAGACCAGAGCTGAAGGCGGTGATGTGTTTCCCAAGGTCAGACAAGTAGAAGGCAACCAGGCCACATTTGAATTTTAGCATGCCTGGGCCTAAAATCTGTCCTCCACTCAGTGAAGAACTTGCCGAATCTGATGGCAAATGGGTGGTGTGGAGGGATGCAGGAAGTTTGAGGCTCCTCTCTGCTTTTATTTCCTCTCTCCACACCTGAGAAGTGTAACTCTGCTAGAGAAGGAAACAGTAAGATCCCATAATTTATAACTAGATTTGAGGAGGACTCAAAGATAGCCTCAGAGATATGGACATTCAGTTTGGTCTAGTTCACCAAATAACCACAAGCCTGCCAGGTGTCAGGTTGTGTGCTGGATTCCGGGGTTACGGGGTCGGGGGTGCGGGCGAGCAGCTTGTGCTCACTGACCCCAAGGAACAGAGAAAATAAGACAGGCATAAAGGTGGTTTCTTCACCAGTTTGAAATCTTCATAGCTGTCTTTGTTCGCTCTGAGCTTCCATAACACAATGTCATAGACTGGATGGTCTCGTGAACTGAAATTTATTTTCTCACGGTTCAGGAGGCTGGAAGTACAAGATCAAGGTGCCCGTGTGGTCAGGTTCTGCACCTGGCTTGCAGCCTTCTTGCTGGTTGCTCAACGTGGCCTCTTTACATGGCAGTTTTATCAGCCCATTCTCCCACCCCTATTCCTCACTTCACTGTAATCACCTCCTCAAAGCGCTATCTCCAAATACAGTCACACTGGGGGCTGGGGCTTCAACATAGACTTTGGGGGAACACAGTTCAGTCCGTACCATGGGCCCCAACCCACAGTGTAACAAACGTATTAAAGTGTACCCATACCACACGTTATAACCATACTTTTTCTGCTGTACAATAAGTGAAAGGATTTTTATAATTTTGCTTTTGAAATTATTTGGCTCTCCACAATTAGTTCATTTTATGATTGGCTCTTGTTTCTCAGCAATCATTCATACTTGGGATTTTTTTGCAAAATGAGAATTCTAAATTGTTTTTAAATGTAGTAAAATATTTGTGAATTTGACAGTTAATGAGGTTGGCATAATGCTCGACTTCAGTGTTTAGCTGAGCATTAACTAATTTTGGATTCTGTCTTGTAGTTTTTGTATTTTGGAGCCAGTACTTTTTCCTAGGCCTCAGATAGTGTTGCAGGCTCTTGAAAAGCTCATTAGCTTGCAAGCCTTGTCTCTAAATGCCTAAAGGATGAAAGGGTTGGGGTTATTTATAGCTCCACTTTGCACTTCCAGACAGGTAGCTCCTGACCTTCAACTCCTAGCTGGTGTCTCCTTGGCACTGAAGACCGGCAATCTTCCACCCATCCTCTTCCCCACCAGCCTTCCTCCTACTCTGTGTTCTTCGCCATCTTTCTCACGTTGACATCCCCACCCACCCGATGGGAGACTCAGAGGCTGGTGTGGTCATTTGTGGCCCCCACATCCACCTCTGCCAGCTTTCAGGCTGGCTGGTGTTAGGATGACAGCTTAGGTATTGCTGGAGACGTTGTTAGGAATCTTGATTTCTGTACCTCTTGTCTGGAGACCTGCGCTCTTGGCTTTGGGTGAGGCTTGGGCATTTGTTTTGTTAACAAGCTAATGTGTTTATTAAAGGCACATCAGGTTTGGGAGGGCGTGGATGCGGGCAGTGTTAGTAGAAGGAAAGAGAGATGTGGATCTTAATAACAAGAACAATGCACCCCCACTGGATTTACTGCCCTGATTTAGAGGTTCTCAAAGGGCCCTCTGCTGTTTCCAAGATGTCCTCAGGGTGTTGCCTTAAGGGTGCTCAGGAGTGTTCCTCTCTGCCCTCCAGGCCATGTGTCAAGGTGCTGAGCCTTGGTGACTAGTCCTGTAACAGCAGCTGTTACAGGAAGAATTTCTGCTGTCTCTTGTTTATTTTGTCTCCCGTGTGAGGCAGGCTCACTCTTTCATTCTTCACAGCCCACCAGAGACAGGTACAGACTGTTAATGAGGCTTGCCGAAAGGGAAGCAGGAAGTAGAATAATTACTACCATGTACAGGCTCACACTCGTTCTGGGGCGGTCCCTCGACCATCCTCTCAATCTGCCCCTTCCGGAGGCTAGGTACAGCTTACCCTTCACTGTGGGACTACCCCAGGTATCTCCATGGTAGGAGCTGGGGCAAAACCAGCTTTGGGGCCCAGAAAGAGAAGGGAGTTTTTCCACTTCACTTTTGAAGGCTATCCCCTCGGCCCGTATTTTCTACTTGAGAATGGTGACATGGACTATCTCTTCCCTTCAGGGAAAACTAGGCCAAAGGTGTATTTGGTGGGCCCCCAGGATAATCATATAGTACTTTGACATGAGGACATCTTCTGGGGGCACCTGGGTGGTTCAGTGTGTTAAGCATCTGACTCTGGGTTTCAGCTCAGGTCATGATCTCAGGGTCCTGGGATCCAGCCCCATCAGGTTCCACACTCAGTAAGGAGTCTGCTTGAGATTCTCTCTCTCCCTCTCCCTCTGCCCTTCTCCCACCAAAATAAATAAATAAATCTTTAAACAAACAGAAAAAAGACATCTTCTGAAGTCTTGGTTGTTTGTTTAAATGATAACTGCGTGTTCAATTTCTATGGCCTCGTCCCAATTTCCATGCCCAAGCCCTATTAGTTTCTTCAATGAAGGCTCAAAACCCCTGGGATACAGCCTCACTCAGGGCATACACTCAGACACAGCAAACTAATTATTTGTCCTTCATTCAACACAATAATCCTGTGAGGTCATCTTTTTAAATCTTACTTTCAAACAAAAAGAAACAGAGATGTTAAGCGACAGCTGAGGTCAAGCTGCCAGCAAGTGACATGCTGATGTCTGAACTGAGTCCTCTTGGTTCCAGATTTGTGGATTTAACTATTACAAAATACTAAGGAAGTAGACTGGACCTTAAGGGTGAATGACAGGGTCTGGAATAATCATGCCATTACCAGAGAGAGGGCAAAGTCAGAGCAGAAGTTGGTGGTGGCGGGGAGGGCAGATGGTGAGGAGGTTGGGCTACGAATTAAGAGCCACTCAGCATCTGTGTCCCTTTCTCCTTTTTATTACTCCGTCTTGGCTTAATGGTTATCCTTCTGAACCATCCCCTTTGTTTTCAAGTTAATCACTGTTTTTGACTCTCCAGGAGCCATGCGCCAGCCCAGGCTGTGGTGAAGCAGCCTGACCGGGGAGGCCCTGGCAGGACCACCATCGCAGCGATCGTCCAGACTGGGGGAGACTGGAGCACCGGCCTCTTCAGTGTTTGCCGAGACAGGAGAATCTGTATGTGTTCCCTCTTCACGCAAGTCCTTGACTATTTTCTTTCCCAAGTCATCCCTGGGTGCAGGAGCTACGTCAGGCACAAGGACAGAAATATAATGGCTTTAGAATAAGCGGACCAATCTTCTAGCGGCTCACATGCACTCCTTGGCAGGAAAAAATCTTGCTTTTCAGGGATGTGGATGCTTTTATAGAATAAGTGGTAACTTCAAAGATTTTTTAAACGACGAACTCCACTGTTGGCAAAGATGCATGAAATGGGCTCCCCCATCTGCTGCTGGTGGGAGGAGACGTTGGTATAACCTTCCTGCCGGATGGCTTAGCAATACGTATGACAAGAACCTCAAGTGTTATATAGCTTTGGCCCAGTCATTACATTTTTAGGCATTTAGTCTAAGGAGGTAAATCATGTGCAAAGATTTAGCAGTGTTAAATTCTGCAGCATTGGTTATTGTGACAACAATCTGGAATGACCTGAAATGTTTGATGGGGCACGCACACATTGAGTTATTATACAGCCATGAAAAGTCACATTGTAGATTAACAGTCAACGGGATGAAAGATGTTTTGGTACATTTTTAAGTTAAAGAAGCAGACTGTAAAACTAAGCACATTAGACACCATTTTTTGGGGGGAAATATTTTAAAAATATCTGGAAGGATACAAATACAAATGTTTATGACATACTCCAGATGGTAGGCTAATGAGTAATTTTATTTTCTTTTTGCTTATCTCTTTCTAGTATTTCTAGGAGGAATATGCAGTACTCTTATAAGAACAGAAATCATCACAAAAAGCCTCCTATGTTGACTAAAATATTTTCAGATACTATTTTAGCTCTAGAGAGGTACCTAGCTGTATGATTGTCCCCTGGGAATGAAGTTCAAAGCACATTGATTCCATTTTTATCTTAGGATATTCCGACTCATCTCTGGTACCATGTCAGCATCCCTTTCCAGGTCCTGCCTTTGCCCTAGGGAGCATCTCGGCCACAAGACTTTCTGGGGGATGCTGTGTGGCTGGGGGGAGGTCTCTGGTAGATATGCATTTGTCACTAACATTCAAAATCCAGTAGACCCTGGGTCTATTATTTTTGAAGAATATGGCTTTCTCTGCCCTTTGCTGGTTTTTGGAAAGATCTGGATTCATTCCTAAAGCCTCATAGCATTGATCAGAGACCCATCTGAGCCGTTTCATGGTCCTAGTCCCTACTCAGCTGACAGTCTTGCTGAGGCTAAAGCTCTCCCACCAAGTTTTGGTGTTCTGGTCCTCTACGCTTGAGCCCCTCACTGTTTGCCTGGGCCCCACAGAGAAGAGATTGCCTCATAGAAAACCTTACCTTCCATCCCTGTCCATCTGCCCATTTGACGCAAGCTCAACAGGTTTCTTCCTGCCGCTGCTACCCATGTGGACTTCAGATCAGATAATGACGGCAGCCATTCTCTGATTCTCTCAGCTTCTTCCTTAGTCTCTTCCAGATACTTTGACTTTAGTTGTCCCCTGTACTGAGGTCCAAAGAAGGCAGAATAGCCATGTGGAGATGTGGAGATCTAGCATCAAATTAGGAAGTAGACATTTTCCTTTCGTAGTTTGTAGTTGGGGGTTGGGGAGTCATCAGTACATTTTCAAGTATGGCAAAGCCTAGAATATAGTGTAGTGGTGAGAACATGTTTGTATCAGATGAGACCTTGCCTTGTATCTTAGCTTGCCTCTTACTGGCTATTTGACCTCGAACAAATTCTCTAGGTCTTCACTTTGCCCCCTCTAAAGGGAGGATAATAAAAGTGCTCACCTCAGGGGTTGTTAAGATTAAAATGTAATACCTAGAGACAAAACATAAGAGACTCTTAATCTCACAAAACAAACTGAGGGTTGCCGGGGGTAGGGGGTTAGGGAGAGGGTGGTTGGGTTATGGACACTGGGGAGGGTATGTGCTATGGTGAGTGCTGTGAATTCTATAAGCCTGACGATTCAAAGACCTGTACCCCTGGGGCTAATAATACATTATATGTTAATTTAAAAAAAAAGAATACAAAAAAAAAACAAAACAAAAACGTAATACCTAGAACCCATTCTTAACACTGGCTTGGAACTTGACTGGATCAATTTTTTTGGTTGCATGCTCTACTGGATTGAATAGTCCTTTCAAATTCATGTCCACCTGTACGTTCTGAATGTGACCTTATTTGGAAATAGGGTTTCTGCTGTGTAGTCAAGTTTAAAAAGAGGTTCTACTACGTTAGGGTAGATCCTAATCCAATGGCTGGTGTTTCTCATAAGAAACAGAAAATTTCAGTACAAACACTAAGAAGAGAAGCCATGGGAAAACAGAGGCAGAGATTAGAATAATGCCTCCATAAGCCAAAGAATGCTAAGGATTGCCAGCATCCACCAAAAGCTTGGAGAGAGGCATGGAATAGAATTTTCCTCAGAACTTCTGGAAGGAATGAACCCTGCTAACATCTTAAGTTCATACTTCTAGCCTCCAGAATTCTCCCATTGAGAGAATGATTTCTTTTCTTTTTGAAGTTTTTATTTAAATTCCAGTTACTACCATATATTGGAATATTAGTTTCAGGTGTACAACTTAGTGATTTAACACGTCCATACAACACCTGGTGCTCATCACAACACGTATCCTTCTTAATCCCCATCACCTGTTTCACCCATTCCTGGGCACCCCCCCCCACCTCCCGCCCCCGCACCTGCCTCCCCTCTGGTAATTGTCAGTTTGTGAGAAAATAATGCCCAGTTTGTGGTATTTATTATGGCAGCTCTAGGAAACTAATACACAAATAAACATTGGATTTCATTTGGAGGCATTGGGGTAGCTCAGAGAATCAAAAAATCAACTAAAAACTAAGTTCAGAAGGGACAAGCTGTATTTTTATACCGTATTTAAAGACTTTATTTATTTATTTGACAGAGAGATCACAAGTAGGCACAGAGGCAGGCAGAGAGAGAGGAGGAAGCAGGCTCCCTACTGAGCAGAACACCCGATGCGGGACTTGATCCCAGGACCCTGAAATCATGACCTGAGCCAAAGGCAGAGAATCAACTGATTGATTCTCTGAGCCACCCAGGCGCCCCTGGGACAAGCTGCATTATCAGAAGCTAGTTGATACTCTCTGATCAACTGCAAACATTTTTGTCATTTTGTTTTTCCTCCTGAGAATTGATGGAGCAGATGGAGTCCATTTTGCCAGGCTTAGGTCATTCCAAAGGACAGTCCTATCAGCATTGCCCCCAGTAGTGAAGAGATATTTTTCCCAAATTACTGTTGGGGTGCTGTTATCAGGAAATGCCCAACAAATACAGAATAATGCCCCTAGTGAATCTGAGATATATTATTGTTATTTTAAGTTGTTAAGAGCCAAGAGTAGAGTCAGGAGGCATAGACGTGCTGTCGCACAGTGACTTCTACTCCGTCCCAAGGGCACCGAAAAAGTTGGCTAAAGAAACAACCATCCTCACCACGCCCCTGCCTTAAATGCTGCTTCACCACTTAGTTTTGTCCCCCAGCCCCATCAATGTGAAGACCGATCACACTCGGCCTTCTGAGATTCCCTGCTGGCCTGTTTCAGAGCCCATTCTGGGGACAAGGTAAGAAGGGAGGATGTGTGGAGAAATAGAACATTCTTTTTTTTTTTTTTTTTAAGATTTTATTTATTTATGTGACAGAGATCACAAGTAGGCAGAGAGGCAGGCAGAGAGAGAGAGAGAGGAGGAAGCAGGCTCCCTGCTGAGCAGAGAGCCTGATGCGGGGCTGGATTCCAGGACCCTGGGACCATGACCTGAGCCGCAGGCAGAGGCTTTAACCCACTGAGCCACCCAGGCGCCCCGAAATAGAACATTCTTTACATTTTGGCACGATCCGTGGAGAAGGGGCCATGGATACACAGTACAAGATGATCTGGAATGTTCTGTGTCCTGGTTGTTATTCCCTGGATGGACCTCCATTTTATGACTGCTCATAGTGTCTCGAAGCTGACTGTCTCAGAAGAAAATTTCCAGGTGATACGCTTCGAACGCTCATTCTCCGCACTGTCATCAACCCAGGACATGAGTGGAAGATGAGTGCTATGGAGCCTGGGCTACTTCCCTTGTTTAAAAGGGCTGCTTTATCCACAGAATTTCAATTCAAGCCGACCACTGTGTAAATAGTTGTGACAAACTTGGGAACAGAAAAGGAGAGCGGCTTTCCATGGCTTTTCCCACGACAGAGTCCCATCCTGGGACAGCCTTCCATTACATGTTGAGAATTACTGCTATAATTTGTCATCCGTTAAACAAAGGGTATGTCAAGAACAGCGGTGATTTCCATTTCTTTTTGACATTTTGCTTTGTCATTTTATTGCAATTACATTTTAAATTTATTTTTATTTATTTATTTTAAAGATTTTATTTATTTATTTGAGAGGGAGCGAGCGCGAGAGAGCACAAACAGTGAGGGGCAGAGGGAGAAGCAGGCTCCCCGCTGAGCAGGAAGCCCAATGTGGGGCTCATTTCCAGAGCCCCGAGATCATGACCTGAGCCTGCCTCCCTCTTCCCACCTGGGCACTTTTATCTGCACTCACTGTGCGCTAGGGTTGGCAAATGGATATTTCTGAGATGGAGATGGGCTTTGGAGATGGGGTTCCTGCAAGCTCAGGTGTGAAAATAAAGCCACAGGGAACTGAGTGGCTGCTAAATGTTGTCCAGGGTGAGAGGCGAGATAGCCCAGCTTCGGGAATGTTTGTGATGTTGCCCCAGAGAAGGTTTATGTGGCAGGTTTAATGCACACTGGTTTGTAATTCAATATTTACTGAGTTCCTACCCATGTGCCGACAGGTGATGGGTGTTACAGTCATAATAGTGAATAAGACAGAGAAGGTTTCATAGAGGAGATAGACATTAAGCAAATGAATCCATAAACAATAATAGCAGTTGTGGTAAGTGCCCTGAAGGAAAGAAAGAGGGTGTTATGGAAGGAAACTATAGGGGAGTGGGGTCAGAGATGGCCT